TAGCCCACTGGCAGTCGATTCTGCAAAGAACTGAAACACATCTCCAATACCAACCATTATAATACCCTGACGACAGTGGTTTCTTCCAGCATTTATGTCCTAAGGCATGAGCTGCCCTGAGTTGCAGTTCCACAAACTTCGAGCTGATTCCACCTTACAACAGAAGGTGATAAAAACCCACAAGACATCAACCCCAAGTGAGCAGTTTGACAATGCACATACAAATACAGGAAGGATGCTCCCATTTTATTTTGATTTTACCCTTTATAATTTCTTTTTTCTTTGGCAGTTCAACCAACTCTGCTGGCCCCGTGGCTCTTTAAACAAGCCCCCCACTCACAGGAGAGCTGCTCGGCTCCTGCCGTAGCACCGCTTCCCCCAGGAGCTGGGAGTGATACCGTGGGGCTGCCTGGAGCTCGCTGCCTGCCCAGGTGTGGACACGCAGAGCAGTCCATGGTTATGGGGCCCCTGGGCAAGTCGTCAGGCTGCTGCAGCCCCCGCCTTCCTGCTGCCAGCGGCTGGGGAAAAGCTTTAGGCTGTGCACAAAGCGCAGTGTGCGAGGAGGGGCTGCTACACAATCCCTCGCAGGCTCCCTTGGAGCAGCCTAACCCAGCACAAGCACTGTAGGACCCGTGGAAATAAAACACCATTCTCAAGCATCACTCTCAATGATTTAATTTGTTTATGGAGAAGAGGCTTTCGCCGTAAGCAGTCGAATTCGTTTGCTTGTCTTTAGGCGGCCACCTTATTTCCGTTTGCCTTGAGGGTCACTTGAACCATGAGGCTGAGTCGTAAAACATCCCAAAACACCCCAAAACATCACAAACACCCCTCACACAGCGGCTGGACACGAGCTCTCCTCCTGTGCCCACCCTGCAGGGCATTCACACACCCTGATACAGATCTGGGCCATCTCCTGAGCCCGACACCAGAGCACAGAGCACGACAGCAGCGAATCCTCGCTCTGTGAAATCCCCGTTATTGCTGCGATCAGCAAAGCAGACACTATTAAGCTTCCACTTCACCAGTATAAATCATCCCCTCCGAGCTTGGCAAAGCACTTAAGCACATGCTTAATTTTAACTACTGCTGAACAGCGAACAACATTTTGCTTTAGAAACACTGAAGGCCAGACCCAAACAAGTTTCTGCACTCCTCACTCTTCCTTACGCTCCCAACCTCTCATTAATCTCAAAGCTCCTCCAGAGCTGGAGCTGGGCCAAAGTGTTTTGTTGAACTGACGCCTAAACAAAGTTTTCTGCTAATTTGGTGTTGTAACCAACGTGGTGAATGAAGAGAAAAGCCAAAGAAAATAGTCTAAACTTTTCTGTGGCTCACTCTAGATGTACAATAAAGAACTCCAAGTGACCTCCAACACCAAAAACGGGATAAGCAAAGGTAACGACACCACTGCTGGTTCCTCCACGAGGTCTGAGCATCACAGCAAGGAGCAGACAAACACGAGCAGTCAGCGTGACAGCCAGGGCCCCGGGACAGGATCCCACCAGTTCCAGCACGTTCCTCTCTCACGCGGCAGGTCTGAGCCCGGCATCTGTTGCACTCATGGGCCCTTTAAGAACCCAACTTCTGCAGAAAGCATCGACACCGAAAGGAGAAAGCCAAACTGCACGCCCACTGCAGCACGGCCTCCAGAGGGAAAGGGATGGGAAACGCTGTTCTCACAGCTTTAATTCATTTAGAGGCCACTTCGCGTCCAGAAGGTTCCCCTAAGCTGATTTCTTTCCCTCACTGATTTTGCAGCCATGCCAAACGCCCATCAGAGCCACGGGGCAGATGTGCCAGCTCCCTGGTGTCACTGGTGGATCCACGGCACTCCCAGTGCTACGGCTGAGCTCGTGTCGCCTGTTAGGGGCTTAGGTCTGTGATACACAGCTACAGAGGGGATTTACCTACGTGTGATTTGAACCACAGCCTCCACGATTGTTTTCCAGATGGAGAACAGAACGGCAGCAATTAAATGATTTTCACGATAACGGTTGTTACTTGAGAGGAAAGAATCGAACACAAAAATGCTGTTTGGGGAAACAGCCAGTCCTTTCCCTAAGCACAAGGAATCTCCAGAAATTGCACCTTTCTCGTGGACAGCATTTGAGTAGCTGCCTGAGAAACCTGCCCCTATGTGGGTCTCCAGATCAGCTTCTGTTCCTGCAGCATCCCGCTGCCTTACTCTAGGAGCCACCCCCAGGCCCTGTGATACCTGCACGATGCTCCTTTCACCCCAAGACTGACCGGGATGCATCTGTCCAAATTAGCTCAGCAAAATTGTCAGACAGCTTCTGAAGACAAAGAATGCAGCACCTCGTCACAGATGGGGTATCCCTGAAACAGCACTGCACATACCTGGATAGAAAGAGCTGGGCAATGCACAGTGTGTTAAAGAGAAATTAACACGCTATTTAAGGACCAAAGGGAAGAGGAAAGAAAGGAATGTTATTGCCTAATACAAAGAATAAGCTGGTCTCAAGACAAATGCCTTTCCCAGCGTAACATGATTCACACACACAGTTTTAAATGCTATCATGATGCCAGTAAAGGACCTGACTTTGTGGTGGCTTGGCTCCTTTTGTGACTGCCCCATTCCCGTTTTGTGCCAAGAAGCCAGGTTAAAGGTGGGGAACTGAACGCTGAAAGGATCCTATCCATGTTTCCAGACACTTTGTAAGACACTCTGGTTAAAAAAAATCAGTAAAAAGCAAAGAACTTGTGCCTTTGCATGCTACACATAGCAACTCAGTAAGATAAATGACAAAAGCCTTTACTGTGGCAGAATAGTTAAATACAATCACAATAAAATTCCACCTGTCAGCTCCAAAAGCACCCCACATGTAGAATTTACACAAGCTGAACCGGAGCTGGCTCAGGGCATGTCATAACAGTTAGTCATTTCTGCACTGCGCACTGTTAAAATTGGCCTCAAGATGAATTGAGTGCCTGTAAAGGGCACCCATATTTCAAGCAAACCAGGACATGCTCAGGGTAGTTGGACTGCCCCTTCAGCTGCATTCCTGAGTGTTTAATTTTTGCCACTCGGTTTCATGAAAAATATTTCCAGCACACTTCCAAAAAATTCAGCAGTCCAGTAAAAATACTTTGCGGTAAAACTGCAGAGGAGGAGGGAGAAGAAAGGTATTAGTTTGTATTGAAAGGACTTTGCAGAGCATTATTCAGACCTACACTCCTAAGAGAAAAGAAAGAATCAAAAATATGTTTTGCTCACATAAATTGTCTGCAATCTGTCAGTACCCAGAAACCAAAATGCGGCACACCGGTATAATCGCATCAAATGAGGTTTTGTTTTGAATCTCTGCCTGTTTTGTCTGTGTTGGTGATGCATTCCAGCAAAAGCCTTCTCTGCCCCTACGAGACAACATCAGGAAAATTTAAATAGGAAGGGCACTGTACATGAGTTCACACTTACACAGGTTTCTCTCAAGGGGCTTAAACTCAAGAGATATTCCCATTGTGTGCAAGAATTTTGAATCCAGCCTGTGGTACTGAGCACCCTCATGCATTTTTCAAGTCAACTTAACTTTGGGCAAACATGTATGGAGGAGATAATCAGGCACAGCCCTTCCTAGAGGGCTAACGTGTACGTTAGAGAAGTCATTTTGACACGAATAAACAGAAATCCTCTTGGGCTTTCTCTGAAATTAAGGCACCAATAATGCAAAATTAATATGTAATAATGAGCCTATTTTTTCCATGTCACACAAACTACATGCATTAGATCAGCCCACCACACGCACTTTGAAGCCAGCAAATTACACTGTCAGCAGCAAATACGTTTCAGATGTAGCAACTAAAGCACTCGTTAGTGGTAATTCCACAGCAAAGGCTACGCTGAAGCAGCCTTTACCTCCACAACTGAATCCAACCTTCAGACGCTCAGGTGCACAGGCACTTGAGTGACACCTTTTTACCAGGGTATTTACCTTCAAAATCAAGGAACTATTTTTGCAAGTGATTCACTTTTAAAATGTGCCTGTTCTCACAATTTTCTTGATTCTGCCTGCTCCTGTTTCCATTTCCTGGTGCTCCTACCAATACCCACTTCGCAAAGCCCACTGTTCAGAGAGAGAAGGAGAAAGCCAAATGTCCAGCTGCACAAGGTGGGTGGTGCCCTCTGAGGAGGCCAAAGGCTTTTCTGGGAATAAGGAATTGCACAGGGAGTGATGGGGCAGCAGGAAGAACTGATCACCACAATGGAGAATGTGGAAAAAGCAGCTAAAATTTTGTTGCAGGTCTCTTTTGTTCCAAACACTTCACAAACAACGGAAGATTTGCCCCAGGATTTGCAAAAATATAGCAGGGAAGGCAAGTATCATCGCTCAATTCACTTAAAAGAAACGCAGCACAGACGCTGCAAGCCTAAGTGCCACTGTGGTGACAGTTTATTCTCAACAGATAAATCATTTATACACCTGACACAGCTCGTTTCTTCCTCTCGTGATAATTATAGTTTTAGGAGCCCCATTTAAGGGGTGCAAATTAATTTCCAAATTCCACCTACTGTCAAAGAGTGTATTTTATTAGGTGATTAATTACCTTCAGGAGCACTTCAGGAGACACCTTGAAGGCAAACAAGGATTGCCGTGACAGCTCCTTTAAGATATGGCTCCGCTCCTAAAGCCTGATGAGCCCAGAGATAAAATAACTGCATACAGGTGTTATCATCTGCAGTACCTTGGGATGTTTGTGCTTCAGAGAATTGCACTTCCCCTCTAGAACAGGCAATATTCAACTCGATGCTGTAGCCTCTGCTTTGTAAGATGTCCGATCAACTACCTGGGGCTGGGTCCATGGGTAGAAAGCAAGGGCAGCCACGGGGAAAGTGCTCATTCCTCAACCCCAGCACACTCCTGCGGTCGTCTGTGCTCACAAAGCACAGGTTATATGACTGTAAAACCACCACAATGACATACAAACGTTTTAAAACTTCTGGGCCAAAAATGCTTTAAGTTTTTTAACATGTCAGTCATAGATTTTAGTCTCCCTTCTGTGCTCATTTTGAAGTAACTTCACTAGGCACTGAACAGAAATGACAGACGACCCGTTTTTCCTCCTGTTATGCCAGATTTGCCTCGGTGCGTGCACCTTGCAGAGAGCAGAAAACAACTTCCAGGTTCTACTCTTTGTTGAGAAGGAATCTCAAGGCTCTTGCCTGTGGAGCTGCTAGGTCTGTATGCACAGAGGCAACGAGCACAGCAGCAGAAGCAGAACTAACCTGCCCTTACAGCCCTGAGCAGTGTAAGCAGGTCTGTATCTTAGCTCGTACTCAGAGGCCAGGGCACCTGGCCCCCTCTGCAGCAGAGGTGGCAGGATTTATAGCAAATTTTACCACTACCTGCCATTTCAGATGTCCACACCGAGAGGAGTTGCCAGCAGAGCTAAGCTCCTCACAGCACAGCAGAAAGACCTACCTGTGCGCAGTGGGGCTCCCCCTTGCGAGCAGCTCGATGCCCAAAGATCACGGTGAGAACAATCCAAGAGGCCAGCACAGCTCCTACACACACCTCCACACCAGCAGCCACCTTGACACACCGCCTAGATACTGAACAAATCTCCACAGAGAAACGACTCTCCCAGTCACAGGTGCAGCCACTCAGTTTAACACATTTAACAGACCGTCTCCACCTGGTTTACCAAAGTCCCTTGTACACAACCACCCAAGGAACTGGTGTGTGGCACTGCTGTCACAAGAAAAGGTAGCTCTGCCTCCTTGCACTTCTTGCTCACCTCGTACAACTACACCTGCTTTTCCCTGAAATTACATTATTATGGGGAAAACAGGATTCGGAGGCCCTTCGTTCCCCTGATCAAGGGCAAAGCCTGTTCTCAGCATGTTTGTCTAACCTCATTTTATGGCTGCTTGTGATGGATGGGCTGCAGAGATGATCAACTCAGGTGCTGCGTGGCTGGATAGTTCCCCAGAGTAACTTCAGTCATTGCTTCTTCACCTCCTAATCACAGGCATAGGAACAGACCTTTCTTTTCTCCTTCACAGAAAAAAATCCAAGCATATTTGCCTTTATTTATCTTTTTTTTTCCCTGTGCCTTTTCCAGTATTTTTCCTCCCTTTCACACACGAGGACATCAGTCTCAGTCTCACCGTGTATTTCATCAACAAGCTTAAGGCAGATTGTTAGCAAAAGCTGGTTAAGTCTACGGCAACTTTAAACCTACATCTGTCAGCACGAAATTTCTTGTTCTGATTTTGGGCTGGTGGGGTGTCACAATCTCGCTTCAGTTATGTATTGAGGATGAAACATTTCTGAGGTGGGAGAAAAGAGAAAAATTTTGAAAATCTGGGGACATGCTGATCTCTAACAAAGTAAGAATGAAAGGCTCAAGTCTTTTCAGAAGCATTCTGAGTAACAGGATACATGGTGAAGGAAAGGGTTGCTCTGCACTCTGAAAAACCCATGTGAATCCAGAATGTGCCTACAACGATTGTTTTTAAGATGTGTATGTCTAACATGACCTATTAAATGAGTATAGGCCCTTGACAGAACTCGCAGATAGAGCAAGATCAGAAAGCTACTTGCTGCACTTTCTTGCTCTCTCTCCCTCTCAAAAATCCAACAACAAAACAAATCAAAAAAAAAACACAACAACAACACGCAGACTTTCCAGAAAAACAATCTGCTCAGAGATCAAACTGGAGCTTATTGCTCCAAACCTGCCCCCGATTAAGTGTGGAGCTTTCCACTACTGTCGTTGTTACCAGGTTATAGATAGAAGCCTCATTTGAAACGTCACACAACCCCAAAGTAGCTAACCAAGTCCGAAAAACACCCCACTACAAACCTCCTTCGATTTTAACCCCTCTTGTATGCTGGAAGCTTCCAGTTGAACATTCTGTATTTTCTCGCTTGCCCACATACGCTCGTTATTAAAACCACATGCGGGCACTGAATCATTTCATGGTTCGTTTAGAGACAAACATGCAGAAAATTGTGGGAAACAAGTATAACCCTAAGAGCCAGTGCAAGCCTGCGTAGTCTCAGGCACGCCGTTGTGCAGAAGCTGGAGGAGCAGGCCTGTGTTATTCTGGGGCTCCAAAGTGAGCAGGAGAGAAGTCACCATATATGTACACTGAATCTCTGAGCAGATCATCAGCAAAATCAGCCAGCGTGACATCTGCAACCCTCAGTGCCTTGCAAAACGCTATGGGTGTGCTCAGCTGGCAGTCCCCAACAAAACCCTAGAGGGAGGCAGCAGGACAGCCTCTCGTTTATGAAGGTGCTCTGGCCCTCAGGAGAACTCACCGAGCACACAGGAAGTGAGCGGCGTAACCTCGGGACAGCACTCCATCTTTACAGACCTGACATCTGGAAAAAAATGGTTTCCTTTTGTCTTGGCCATTGAACTAGAAGATGTGCAGCTCAGGGACAGCCCTTTGTTGTGAGGACAGCCAGAAAAACAGGCAGAGAGCACTTTCATAGGGACTGTTCATGTTACAGCAGTGACTGAAAGACCAAACAAAATGTGCCAGCTCAGATGTGCAATGAAAACACATGTGAAGTGTGCCTGAAGACACAACCCCTTTCCATTTGTAATTACTGTTGCGTTAAGAAGCAAAAACTCCCCAAGGAGAAAACAGCTCAGGGACAGACTGGGCATTGGTCAGCGGGTGGCGAGCAACTGCATTGTGCATCACTTGCTTTGGACGTTCTATTATTATTATTATTATCATTATTTCTCTTTCTTTTCCATTTTATTAACCTATCTTTATCTCAACACACAAGCTTTTACTTTTTTTCCCTCCCGATTCTCTCCCCCATCCCACTGGGAGGGGAGGTGGTAGCAAACAGCCGTGCGGTGCTGAGCCGCCTGCTGGGTTAAACCCCGACACAAGGGAAATTCAGGTTCTGCTGCACATCTCCATTTGTGCTTCAAAGCCCCACGCAGCATGTACATGCCCCAGGTTTCTCGTTGAGCCCTCTATTAGGACTGTAAAAGGTTAGATCCTGACGTTGTAACACAAACACTGCTAGGAACTGCAAGATCTCAACTTCCCTCTCACCGGGCTGTGTGTACACACATGCACCAGAGATTTTCCACGGAAACCAAGTGCCTCAAGACTAAATTAAACCATTAAATAATGAGATCTTCCAGGAAGTTCTAGGGAACACCTCCTAAAGTCAACTCTGATCAACCAGCTGTCTGCCAGAAAGCCTCACAAAGAGGTCGTTTGTGAAGACAGACGAGGAGGATGAGAAATGATAAACCCTCTGGCCAGATGAGCACCAGGCACTGCTCACCACAACATGGGACACGGCTGAGAAGGTGGAGGGGAATGGGGTGTCTGGAAGGTCCCCAGATGAACAGGCACATAAGGAAGAGAACAATATCCATCAGAGGATGATTAGTGCAGTCATTTCAGAACTGGGGAAAGAGATGTCTTCAGTGCCAAAAATTCTAAGTATGCACTAAACTTGTTTCTGACCAAGCTTTTGGGATATTAGGAAACTGTATTCACTGCTCTTCACTGCTCCAGGAACAAGTGTTCCTTCCCTTTCCACTTGCACCAACGGTTAGCCATGGGCATAACACAATCCTTTTCTCCTGTGTGTTTCAGAACAGAAACAAAGCTTTTTCCATGAGAAAAACCCATATCTTAGAAGGCAAGAACTTTATAGTGCAATCTAAATATCCATCAAAGCTCTGCTTGTAACAGCAGGAACTCAGCACGAGGAGGCAGGTGGTGTCGATAAGAATTTATGGGATGTCTGTAGCCATATTAAATGTCCCAAGTTCTTCAAAGCACAGGTAATGCTGAAATGGGGTTTACAGACACAGCTGATTTAAAATACGCACAGTCTCAATCCCTACTCAATACCTGCTCATATTAAAACGCATTCAGAGGACACCATCTGCTCTTTATAGGCACTGGTAATCAAAACGTTCTCTGTCCGTGTAAGCATAGCCATGAAAGGATATACTGGGGTAAGGTTCATGCTAAAAAGCTAAATTCTGCTCTCTTCCATCCAAAGGTACTCCTGATCAGAAAGTTTATTCAAGCTGTGCCATCTGGACCATGCCCATATTTATGACACTTCGGTTTTCAAAACCTGCCAAATATTTTTGGTCAGCAGGATTCCCTAATGCCAATTCGTTACTGTTAAAGGACAACTTGTTAGGCAACGAACTTGTTCTCCTGATTATTCTAATGGAAAAATACAGGGAGAGACAGGGCACTGGTAATTTCCTGTTCCCTCAACATGCTTCATCAAGTAAAGAAGGCCAGGATATCTCCCATCTACATGCCTGCAAGCGGTCTGATCCTGCAAACATCCCACTCAAGCACTTCACACTTAGGTTAACACAAGCTTGGAGAGCAGAATAGCTATGAACACACAGCAAAGAGCATTTTTATTGTGATTTTTCTTTACTGTAATGCAATATTTCAAAGCATGCTTGCACACAAGTCTTTGAGTAATGCAGAATATTAAGATGTGACTGAACAGAAAAGCTTTACTATCACAAAACGCTATCCAATTTTACTTTCTCTGATCCAAACTGTAGTATCCATTTTCCAACAGAACTAAAACCCACTGGGAGCTTTACACCCTCTGAACTGCTGTTAAGCTGCAGTATAAAATTAATTACAGAAACACCTCTGACAGAATTAAAGAGCAGTGTTTCCAGTCAGAAATAACATCACCAATGGCAGAAATAACACTGATAGACTGACATCAAACCTGACCACCAGTGCTAAAGCCTGAAACCAAAGAAGCAAAGATCAGACACAAGCAAAAGACATCTAAGGCCACTCAAGCAATTGTAAAACTTAACTGGTCTGGATGCAATTCATTGAAAATAACCCAACAACGGCAAAACTTCACCTCTGCAAATATACTGGATGTGCAAGTCTGATTCACCATGAGCAATTACAACCCAATGCACACACAACAGCATGCAATTCTATTATCTTTGCTTTAAGCTGCCTTTTATATGCTTTTTTCTTGCTATTTCAGGAATTTCACTACAATAAACTATGGAATTCTGCTCGTTGAGAGAAAATTCCATAGCTAAACCTCCAATTAAGTGCTCTTATATCTACCAGGAAAAGGAGAGCGGTATCTCAGTCCTGCATCATGATTTTGTTGCTGGCAGACTACCCGTAACAATTACTGAAAGGACATCTGTGCTGATGAAGCTTAAGGACATTTTGTACTGATAAGTATTCCTCCTTTTTAATCCCCGAGTGGTTGCAGGAGTTCTCATAACATACCTTCCATTTGTGAATCGGTACAGGTATTTGGACTGTAGCCCAGGGATTTTCAGTGGGTACCTGAGATGCAATAAATGACCACATTTGCTTATTACAGTAAAACTCAGTGTTTTTGTCAAGTATTAATACCGTAACGTGGTCCTGATTCAAATTTCAGCATGATTTCAGCATGGGTTTTGCCTTCCACTGGCTCCAACTACACAACGTCTGGGTGGTAAGATTTGAGCTGATTGCTTGGATAATAGCACTTAATTGGTACTACGGTTTCCATCTCCACCATATCCTTACAATCTGGCTGCAACAAATTTGATTTATTTAATACAGAAAGTTATTTTACTGATGTACCTGTAAGCAATGAAACAAGATATTAATAAACGTCACACTGAACAGCCCATGCAGCTGCCTCTACAGAGGTTCATTTTCAGACTGGTTTATGATAGAAGCAGTGTGTGAAATTGCCCTCTTCTTCTTTCTCCTGAGCTTTTGAACTCAGTGTTTAGTTTTAGGCACACAGGACAGAGGTAAGGATCTCAGGGCTAAAGAGCTCCTAAAACTTCTGTGAACATCCAACAGGCATCTCAAACACATCTGAAGGTATTTTGGTTGAGCAGAGAGACCCAAACTGGCCACCCTACTCTGCAGGAAAGGCTGCAGAAGGAGCTCAACCATTACCTGGTTGGTTGCCAGCCAGGGAATCGGTGGGTATGCACAGGCAGCAAGCAGCACACAGCCACCTGGGGACGCACCCCAGAGGGTGTTATCATCTGCACGGCCGACAGCTCGGGGCTGTGGGACAGAGCCCAGATGTTGGAAGGAACGGGGGGAGCATGGGGGACACACATTCAGGGCTGGAGTCAGCACAACGGGAACAGCAGGGATGCTGCGGATTACAGGTCCATAGAGAGCATGTTTCTGCTGTTTATAGTACCTCAGTAAAAAAAAGGTGTTGTGGCCGTGAGAATAGGATGCTGGACATGCTTACACCATGTTCAGAGGACACACAAGTGTACAGGGAAGCCATTAAGCATGCAACTAAACAGCCTTTCAGAATTTCCTATGGAGAACAGAACCATACAAAAAAAAAAACAGGAAAAAAAAAAAAGAAACAACAAAGAAGTAACTGCAGACCTGTGTAAATAAATGATAAAGCTGCTTAAACTCCAAGGATTTCTGGTTTGTGGCGCTGGATTACGGGGTAAAGCAAAAACCTAAAAGATTGTGCCTGTTTTCTGCCCTCAAAGGAAACCTGTTGCATAAAAGAAAGACTGACGGCACAATAAAGATCCAGTGGCTGAGGACCAGAGTGCAACTATTAAAGCTGAAGTGCTCTTTAACAAGGCTCTAACACACATGCTCTCTGTTGGGAAGCTCTGTAGACATAGCATTCACTTAGCCCTTTTCCAAGGTCATGGCACCACCTACTCTTTCCTGGCCACAATGGGGTACTGCTGGCCATTTAGGACACGTGCAGAGCCCTCGGTCCTCCCAGGGAGATAGGGAAATCCGTGAGACTGACAGATCAGCAGACATCTGAGGAACAGCTGCTGAGAACTTCAGAAGTTCCAGGAACCTTAAAGTTGATTAAAAATAGAAATAATTTAATCAAGGTCACATTTGCCCTCAGAGAGGAGGAAGGAATTCTCTTTATATACACAGAACAGTAAAAGCACTCCCTGTGTTGGTAACTCATGGGCCTTGGGAAAATGAGTATTTTAAATTGTCCTAGGCCCTACCACTTCAACATCAGCATTTCCCAGCGGACTGAGAGATCAAACATTAACCTCAACAAGTGGCCCCATGTTTCAGCGTGTCTCCGTGATATCACCGCACTTCAACACGACAAGAGGAGCCGAGGCTCCATACCTCATTTTATGCTAGGAATGTGCACAGAAACACCCCTTAGGAGCTGGGGGGAGGCTCTAAACATACCCTCATGCTGCACACGGTGCTGCGTGATGTATGTGGCTGATTAAACATTCAGAAGGGATCTATAGACACAGGCGCAGCTCCAGCCTTGGCCCCAGGCTTCCAGGTGGTGATGGGATTTACCCAGAGGCCCTTCTCCAACAGGCCTCTAAGAAAAAAAAATAAAAATGATTTTTCATATTCGTAGTTTTCTCCACACATTGCAAAATCACACGAGAGGAGGAGCAAGAGAAAATCCTACCTTTCCATTCAGGTAAACAAAGCAAACTGCATCTTAGGAGATGACGGCAACTGGCAGATCAAGGAACGCTCATCTACAAGGGCTGCAACTTACAGTTTGGAAGGATAAACTTCAGAATACAGTTTACTCTGTCACAAGCTCTCCAACAGTCAGGAAAGCCCCTGACACAAGAATTCAAAATAACTTCTGACCATCATAAGCAATTTTTCTTCCTATCCGCCCTGCCAAGCAAGGGCAGGGGGGAGAGTCAGTGCTGGGAGGAATGTCCACATCTTAATCCATGAGCTTCAACACCTGTAAGTATGCCACGTAATCCAGGCAGGATTTGTACTTAGCGGGTAGCAGAATATTCATACTAGATACCTGCGTTGGCTTCTTCCTACCGACATCACCCAGCTCCACTCCCAACTTCTCCACCTCAGTTTTAAATAGGGGAAGTTGCAAAGAAAGGAAATCTGGCCATGAGAACACTTTCTTTAATGCAAAAGGAAACATTTCTAACTCATATATGAAAAAGTTGAAGAGCTAAATTTAAATTCAAACAATTCAGCAGCCTTATTTGTTTCTGGAAGTACTGAGCTCCCTCCCCACTGTCAGTGGGGGCTCTGCACGTCTGGTAGTTTTGGGGAGGCACGACCATAAAACGAAATCAGCGGTGAGAGTACGCGCTCTTTTTGGGTCCCTTGGTAACACACGGGATTCCTGTGGCCTGAATTAGTTAATTCCTAAACTGCTGGTGCAGATGCTTGGGGCTGTAAAGAAAGCCATGCTTTACATTCCCTTCTTGATGCTCCCTCTGTTGACGTGCATTAAGAAAAGGGGCTAGGTTGTCAAACCACGGATATTCATGCGCTGAGCCGAGAGCCTTCACACTTGGTGGTCTGGAAATCTTTTAAAGGACACAGAACTGAAGACGAGTTGGACAAAACTGGAAAAGGAAAGGTACTTCTAGTCGCTCTGAGCAGAAGACACAAATAGGCAGATTGAGTTTTCCTAGCACTGGCCGCAATAAATACATCCCAGGGCATTAGGGGTGAGGGAAGAATGGGACGAGGACGGATTCTTGACTGAATCTGAGTGTTTTGTTTGTGCCCAATGGCTTAAGAAATTTGTTCATCCTTCCTTGAAGACTACATTTGTAACGCTGTACCACTGCTGGGGTCAGTCAGAGGTTAAGTTAGTGGCCGGATAAATTCTCACTGCACAATTTCTGTTCACCTGATGTGTGGATCTGTGCAGCACATTGACTCAGGTGTCAGAGGAAAACACAGGACTACGGATCTGTTGCACCTTGCTTTTCACTGCTTTGAACAAGACGCAGCCCTGCAGTATCTCAGGAAGAATTCTCTCCCCTTGGTTTGCCCATCCCAAACATTTATTTTTAAGTATTTCTTCCTTACCCAAACTGTTATTGTTTTCTCTCCTTTGTTTTGTCTCACAGGCATCCCAAACATCTAGACAGGGTGAGTTTGCTCTCAGGCACCAGGCACAGAAGCCACTGTAGTTCCCCAGCCTCCTAAACTGCACAAATCACACTGCCTTATTCAAGCGCCCTCCTAAAATCCTGAATCGAGCGTCAACCATCATGAAACAGGCTCTGAAAAGTACAGGAATGAAAACAAATATATCAGGACTCTTCTGTTGGCTGGTGTTTGAAACTTCACCATAGGATTCTGCTCACTTCTCAGGCATTTTTTTCCTTGGTCATTACAGTTAGACACTTTTTTTTTTTTTAAAGCAGGTCATATTTTACGTATTCACATCAATCTGAGAGATGGGGATCATAAAAAGCACAGTGAGGAGACAAAATAACATCCGAGTTTATCCAGAGAGCGTTTATCCAGCAGGCATATTGATATTGTCTCTCTGCAGCATGTGACACGTATCATAACATCAGGGAACAGACTGCTGCAGTGCTTTGCAGAGGCACCGAGAGCTTTATTCTTCTTCCAGTCAACGACAGCTGAGGCCAGAAGTGCCTGACCTGCCACAGAAATTCCGGAGTTCAGTTTCTGATTTCATTCTTGTAGAAACTACGTGTTCTGTAAATAACTGCTAGTGTCTCTAAATATTCAGAATAGGCATCTCTTAACTACATAAAACTCAAGGGGATGGAATAAACATATACCTACATGTAAAACAAACAAGAAAAAACCAACGCAATACAGATTACTGGTGACAGAGCTGTGAATCCAGAACCGAATTCCCACTGATTACTTTAAATAAGTTGCCCCTCCAAATCAATTATTGGTGTAAGCCATCTCCGAGCCAGCTGCATCCATTTCAAATGACTAATGTAGAAGTTTAGGATTTGTACTACCTAATTCTTCAGTCTTTTTTTGCTGGGGTGCTGGTAGTAACAAGGACTGACTTGAAGGGAAGGTGAATACTTGCCTTCTAACAGCTGCCAGATGTCAGCCCCAAACCCAGCGCAGTATCTTTCCTACCTCCTGCCCTCCCTGAGGATTCCCCATCTGGCCCCAAGGAGAGACAAGACACGGGACTGGCCAGAACAAGGAGCTGATCCCATCAGCCAAAGCCAACTTTCCTACTTGGGTTTTACCATCTGCCACCCACGGAAATAAATGCTCCACCAAGTGACAGCTATCTGGCATCTTATCAAGGGACTATAAAGAGAAGAGGGACGGGGTTCCTTAGAAGAGAAGCTCGTCTTTCTGCTCCATTTCAAGCTTATGGGCTGGAGGGGGGAGGCGGAGGGTTGCAGTGAATTTTCACTGGATACAAAGCTGTAGATTAAGGTTTGTATAGGACAAGAACTTGATCTATGTAGACCCCAAAGCAGTATGAAAACAACTCAATCATTTGTGGGGAATTTGGGTAATTACACAGCTAACTATGCAGCAGAAAAAAATAATACATCACATTACAGCTAAACGCTGAATTTTTCTAAGCAAAACAGTGGGAGTTGAATCACAAACAATGGAATTACCCAGCTGGAAAGCGGATGGTAAAAACACTGAGTATCAGTAATTCCCTCATTCCTTTGCTACCAAGAAATCACACAGCCCCCAGAGGTAGCACATTTAACTACCTATTGTTAGTTAATGTTGCTTATTGAACTAGGTCAGCACCTGCGTATACCTTAAGGAGTAACAAACAGGGTCTGCCTGGGTATCTCCAGCTCCTGGCTGCTGCAGGGAACATCATGGATAAAGTTGAAGACTGAGAAAAAGGCTGCCTTGTGCAAACTACAGGAGGGAATGGATTTAGTGCAGTAGGTAACCAAATGGTAGAGTGAAAACAAACCTTTGGTTCACTTCTTTTTTTTCATACTGTTGAGAAAGCGGAAGGCTAACAATCGCCATCAGTATCACAGCCCCTCTGCAGCCAGGAGAGGGTTGCTTTTCATTTCCCAGTGCAGCTGCTGAGCTGGTCTGGGGTACAGATCCAGACAGAAGTGTTTGCTGCTCCTCTTAAAACATGAAGAATGAAAAGGGCTATCTTTGGTAGCTTTCTCCATGAAATCTCAAAACATGAATAGCCGCATTAATCTGATTCAGAACTATAACTAGAAGTGAGGTCTATATCTAAAAGCAAAAGTCATGAATGCGTTTGATGTATTTTAAGTAAGGCACTGAACTGCAGTTGTTATTTACAGATCAAAGAAGCTCCAGCAGTGTCCTGAAACAATCTAAGTGAGAAATGCCAAAATCTGATTTCATCCATGTCCATATGTTGCTTTGAACTCGTAATTCACAGAATTGGTCACTATATTGAACTAATTATCAAGCTTAACGCTTGCCAGTTTTGATGGCTGTGCTCCCTTAACAGAAGAGTCGGCTCTGAAGGGAAGGAGGATGATATATTGGAAGAGGTATTGCCTTTATTGAAATCTGGGGAGGAAAAGCAATGAATCCACCAAAAATGCCCCTCCCTCCCATAAAACAAAGTTCATTTAATTTTCTAAATGATTGCTGAGACACAAATTAGCAAAATAAATACTGTTTGCATTAACCAATACTTATATAAAATAGAGTGGTTAAGTCCTCCTCCCTCACAGCAAGTTTCTTTTTTAAAGTTAAAGGGAAAATATCTATGCTAAAATCTGATGAGGGCACATATTGTACACAGAAGTAAAATTAAAACAACAGATTCACAGCACAGCATAACATGTTTAAATTAAAATACTAATAAAAACAAACACTGAGAACGTATTTCTTCTGCAGACAGGAATATATCAGCAAGTCGTATTCTGATACCACTAACAACTTTTAGAAGCGAGTTTTTTTACCACTTAGTTACAGTGGTTTGAAATGTCCACAAACATTGGTTTGCTTAAGAAGCGATTTCAGGAATCACACAGCTTAGGGTATAATTAAAAAGCAATCTATGGGAAATAGGTTATTACCAGTATTTAGCAGCTAATTTGTTAGTTAATGCCTTAACAAAGCTCTCCTTTGATTGCAGTAGGGGGAAAAAAACACAACTTCAAGAGGATTATTTGCTATTAAGACTTGTACTCAATTATGGAGAACTGACGTGCTCCTTTCAGGAGGCTGCTGTTCCCACCCCATAGCAGTCTCCAGGCAAGCAGGGATGGATTGAGCAGCGCTGCAGCCAGCTGTTCCCATGTGCAGGACAGGAGTTCAGCCTCTCCTTTTTAAGAGAATTTGCAAAGTATCCTCACTAATACGGGTGTTTGCTAATAAAGAGTTGCAACCTGCATGTTCCTTGGTGCCCGTAACGCTTTTATTTTATCACTCACATCAATGCTCCCCCTCAGCTCCCCCTGTACCCTTTAATCTCATTTCTGAAGAAGCGGCCACACAGGTGCTGGAGTCTCTGGACAGCATTTTTCATCAAGATAACATGCCCCTTCGTTTGCTTTTCCTTCTGACAAAAGGGACAACACAAGATAATTTTTATCGAGTTCCATGAACACCGTATTTATGTCACGTTACTGGAAATGAGCATCACTGAATATGTTTGTAGGTTACAGCTTCCTAACAAGTTATAATCACCTTGAAGCTGCCATTTACTATCACAGTTAGCATCACACTGATCAGGGCAAGGCTTTAAATACCACGCTAACCCCAAACTTAACCTCAGCCACGGAAAATGTAACCAACAAACTTTCAGATAACACGACAGAGGTGGAAAAAACAGTCCTCACCCACTCTTACAAATTGCTTTTCCTGCCACTACCACCTCTTCAGACCCCATTACCATATTTCAACTGCAAAGACTTTCCTATAGCAAAAGCTGCAAATAAAAATATTTTTAACGGCATCATTGACTCTGAGGCATACTTTTTATGTAAAAGTTAGTCTGGGGAGCTGTAGCCCAGCAGAGACAGAACCTCAAGAAGCCTTCAGCTGCAGAGCAAAGCAAAGAGGCCCATTAATCATATTTATCAAGATTGTCTACTCTGGCTTTCATGCAGCGAGGGGAAATGTGCTATACTACTTCAGCAACAAGGAGCAAGGCTAAAACAAACTGACCTAACTGCATGGGTCACTTCCAGAAATAGAAAGTATACCAGCAGCACAGCTGTACAGGCCAGAAGGCAAAATGCTGGGAGAGTTGGAGAAAAAGGAAAAAAAAGAAAAAAAAAAACACCCCAAACTTGTGAGGTATGTAGCCAGTGGCAAGATTACACTGGGCCAAATTTTGCTTTAATTGGCATTTAGTATGTTAAAATCTACAAGACAAGATTCAGTTAAGTGCTTCGGAGTCTTATATTTCATGAGGCTCCTAAAACACTTTCTTGTGCTTCAGGATTTCATATCAGCAAAAGCAGGAATGAAGCAGATAACCTCCCACTGAGGTATGAGCACATTACTTATTTAGATGTGTAGGGATACTTCTTTATGGCTCTTCTCTTTTCAAGTTAGACAGTGCGATGTCAAATGCAAATTCAGAATACAATGTACTAGCTGTTCTCCCGTGGAACGCAGGGGTAGTATCCTGGTTTATGTTTTTACTCTTTTTGGGGGTTTATTTTGTCTGAAAGAGCATCCAGGGGCCTCAGTTTACTCATGACAAACTCACCCGTGTCACATACCGTGCATCACTGGCAGTATTTAACTGGGAAAGATTCAAGCCTGGAACAGCCAGATCTGGTAGAGTGACCTGAGGGTTGCTCTATCTGCCATTCGAAGCCAAAATGTTCAGGCCAAGCTCTGCTTTATTGTAGCCAGGCCTGCTGGCTTTGAAAAGCAAGAATACAATTTTCACTTATTCAACCCGCATAAAAAGAAAATTTGCAGAGCTTACACTTTATTGGCTTCTATAAAATTAACAGAAAAGTAAAAGCAAGATAAGAGGCCGGTTTAATAACACCATTTCCATTTGCAGCATATGCACCAGGCCTGCTTTGCCTACATTTCTATAAAAATAATGAAAGTCATGCTACCATCCATCCCGTCCCTTCCCCCACGTGCATTTCCAGTTACAGACGCAGTGACTGCGAGCCCTCCCATTACACCTCCAGTTCTTCACTCTGTGCGAAGACCAAGCCAATCTGCCTCCTCATTCTTAGGAAATTCTTAGGAAAGACCCAAGAGTCCTTCCTCCTTGGAGGGAAACCACAGCCAGGCTGCTCTTCCGAACTGCAAATACCTGACCAGAAGCATCCCATGCACAGTGCAGACCCAGGTTATGAGGGAGTGCTGCTCCTGCATCTTGCAACCACAGGCAGCTCTCCTCCTGCCTCACAGGAGATGCCACGTGCCTCTCAAGGTGTGACTGCGGCTGATCACTGTGGTCCTGGACACAGTGGGTAGCTCACCTGGCCAGGCAGGGCAAGAGAAGCCCTCTGCTTCCTGCTAAACAAGCACGAATGGAACCAGCCACCTGGTATCAAACAAACAAAAAAAGCAAAGCACAACCAATCAAACCGAAAGTATCAGCCCCGTATTTGTACTGCCATAAAGGTCCCTGGCTATCCTTAAGATTTTTTTTTTTAGTCCCAGGAAATTCAATGGGACTGCTCCCCAGAGTCAACAAAACAAACAGCATTTC